AGGATTAGTAATGGAAGCTGAGGCATTGTGTGAATAAGCTAGATGCCAAGTCCTAACTTCAAGCCTACCTCTTCCCTGTTGCCTTATGTGCTGCTAAGACACAGACTACCACAGGCCGTAACTCGGAGCCTTTAAGTCCCCGCTACACTTGAATATTCTATGTCTTGTATTCCATTGGCTTGATAATAAATGTGCTTTGCTCAAATACATATGCAGCATCACCCCGTAGTGCTCATGTTAACTCTTCTTGGGAGTGTCAGTGGGTCATTACACTGTAACACGTCTGTCCATTTAGGGAATGTGGCTATTGGGACAATTTACAGGCTATTTAGATCACTGGGAATAGGTGTTTTGAAAGTGTACTTTAGTGTGGCTAACAAGAATTTCTCAAAAGAGGAACTTTCAGAAAGATGTTTATGATGAAAACAGACATAGTACTACATGTAATACACACGTGCACATCAGAAATGTAATCGAAAGGTTATTTTGGTGCAAGAATTTTGAAATCTATGTCTAGTTTTTTTTTTAATACTTTCTTTTTATGATCTTGTTGCATTGTCCTCATGTGTTTTTGTCTCAGAAGACATATTCTATATAAAGGGTAATTCCCCTGAATCCGCTTTGAAAGGTCTTGAACCTGTGAATATGTTTGTGCTTAAGAGAGTGTTAACTATGAAGGTTTTTTCCTTTGAAAATTGATTTCCCAAAGTAAACCATTGGGTGGGTCCTTAATTTCATCATCCCCTTAATGGGTCTGTTGCTATCACAATGTACACATCATTATCTGGAGATAATGGGTCTCCTTTCTTCTCTCACTCTTTATGACAACTCTGGAGGGTGAAGCCCCTCTACTCTCTAATGACTGTTCTGTATTGTCTTCCTTTTACAAATCAGAACTTGGGCATTTGAGAGATTATCCAGCTTGGTTTGGGTCGCATCGAACCTGGCTGAGCCAGACTTAGAATCCATTATCAGTTTGTGCTTTTATCTCCCTTTTTCCTGTTTTGTCTTTTTTTTTTTTTAAAACAGTTTATTCAAAAGGCTGAGTAAGAGAGCAGAAGGTAAGGAAGAGAGCCAGAGAGATCTTCCATCCACTGGTTCATTTCCCAAAGGCCTGCAATAGCCAGGGCTGTGATAGACCAAGTTAGGAGTTGGAGACTCTCTGAGACTGTCACATAGACTGTCACATTAGTGCCAGGTTCATCCTCTGCTGCCTTAGCAGACACATTAGCAGGAAGCTGGATCACAAGCAGAGCCACGGGGACTGGATATGAGATAGTGGCAATGTACATGCTTAGTTTGAGTGACTCTGCCTTCAAAGAATGGGAGATGAAAAGGTTTGTAGGTAGAGATGCTCCATGTGTAATCCAAGGGATAAGCTGTTCGTGCTGATAAAGAGGAGGTGCTTGTTGCTGCATATCAAGATTAAGGTTGATGGAATGGTCGTTGACCAAGGCCACACATCTGTAGAAAACTAACGTCTCACGCGTATTCTGAGAGCCACTAGATACAAGGTCAGTTTCTAGGATGAGATGGATTTTAAGCTGGGCTGGAAGAAAGCTGAGGGTAGAATGCCAGAATTGCTATTTTGGTATCCAGTCAGTGAGCTTTTCTCAGCCAACCCCAGTCTTGTGATCGGAAACTCTGCCCATACTGGACTTCATTTTACAGTTGGGTTATAAAATCGGAGGCTTGTCTAACTCTGGATTACGCATCTTGTAGTTTCTGGGTCTGATCCTGGCCTATCCCCAGGGTAGGTAATTCCATTCTACAGCGCTCCTCTTGACCAAATTGCAAGAGTCTGGACATAGAATTTTCCCCTTTGTAATAAATTAGTAAAACCACATGAGTGTTTAAGATAGTGTCTGTATTTACTAACTGAATGGGTCAGTTCATTACCTGTTCATTACCTGTTGTTACTTAAGACTCTTCACTTTAGAATTAAGAATTCACGTTAGAATTAAGTTGAGAGTGAGGTCCACCCGAGGGCACTCTGCCCTCCTGGCTGAAAAGTTTGGCTAGCAGAAGGCTCTTCCTCGCATTGAGTCCAGATCTTTGGGCCTTCTACAGAGTGGGTCTACATCCTATCCATATGACAGGAGAGTTCAATATCTAAAACTTGGCGATTATGATAAAAAGATCTTACGGGTTTTGAGATGTGATGTGCAGCTAAAATTAATGAAGTTTTAGTAAAAAATACAAGTTGTTGCTTTTAGCTCTGAAACCAGTTTCCCAAGAGACAAGATTCAGGAACAGCATCTGGGGGCAGGAGCCTAGAGGCTTCATGGGCAAGTCCACTGCTGATTGTTGTTTATGGAGATTGGTGGCCAATTTGGGATGTGTCTGCACACAGTGGGCTGAGGGATGACAGTACTCATTCTGGAAGATGACCGAAGAGCTGGGGGATACTGCTGAATAGGTGTCTCAGGGGAGATGTTTGCCTCCCTGAGGGATAGATCAACTTCAAAGGATGACTGAGTAGGAGCTGGGTTTATGTTAAAAGATTTACAAAAGTGGGCAGGACAGAGGAAGATAAATTCCCTGTCATTGATTCAGTGTAACCAGTTGATGTGACATTTTAGAGGGGACCTCAAAATGGGAATCAGGGTGGTGGTGATTTGAAAGGCAGAGAGATGAAAGGAGAGACAGAGATCTTCCCATCCTACACTGATTTACTCCACAGATGATTACAGTGGCAAGGGCTCATGCAGGCTAAAGCAGAACCCATGAGGGCTGCTGCTCTCCCAAGTGAATTAGCGGGAGGCTGAATCAAAAGCAGTGCAGCTGGGACTTGAACTGGTGCTTAAATGAAATGCCAGCCTTGCAGGTGGTGGCTTAGACAACTGTTCAACCTTGGTGTGTTTGAGCCTGGAGCCACTTGACTGTCAGTTATATAGTAACATTCTTTCTAGACAAAGAAATGTCTTGGGTCCCTCTAGCTCACTCTTACTGCCTTGCATTTTCTCTCTCTGCGCTACTGGTTGAGTGCTGGGCAGATCTTTTCATGTTAAAATTTGGCTCCCAGGTATGAATTTATATGCCTGAGAGCTGCCCAAAGCTCAGAGACTAGCCTGTGGTTATTTTTTGTATGTGTGTGTTTTGTTTCTTGCTTTATATTTTGCTCAGGGAGAAGGCTGGTAAGCTACTGCTCAAAGAACCTATTCTGATTCTCATAATTTCTCCAATTGTGAGAAGTGACTCTAGGGCAGAGTTGAGTTCGGCTGGTGTTTATAAGACTCTTAGATCTCAACCAAAAATGTGATCGTTTGAGAATTCAAAGGGCCCTTACTGCAGGCACTGTAGAGTTCAACTGGGGGTGAATCACAAAAACTCTTTCTTGTGGCATAAATTATAGGTTAACATTTGGTAATTTCCAAAGGCCTGTGTAAACGTACATGTATTGGTAAGAGGTAGTAAATATTTTGCTGACAAGTTTTTTGAGTGATGGCTCAGTAGCAGCATTTAAAGGTAGAGAGCCTGGGGGTCGTTTAGTGTTTTAACTCCAAGTGCTACCTACAATACAAAGCTGCCAGGTTGAGTAGCTGGTGGCACCCACTAGTGATTAGCATGGGCTTGGCCACAGAGTTTCTGAACCTGGGACCTGTTGTTCACACAGGCCAGGAAAGGCGGGAAGGAGCTGGGAGAGAGGTGGTCAGACTGGATCATGGAAGAGGGCCTGCTGCTGGGTGGGGCTGCCAGCACCTGCTTCCCTCCTGGGCGCTTCTATTGTAACTTCCCTGGACTTGAGAGGGTGGAGCAGGGAGGAGCTGTGGTGACACAGAGCTCTTCTTAGTGGAGCCCTGGGCCTCCCTCTCGCCATCGGTGGCCAGGAGCAGTGCTGCTCACTGCCTTTGGAAGGTCTTTGAATGCATGATCTGATGCCTTTCCAACAAAGGAATATTGATATGTTAGTGGGCTGGACAGCAGGGAGTGCTGGATTAGATCATTTTCACATTGGTGCTTTGCCAGTTTGACATTTGTTTGGAGAGCTTATCCCTTCATGGCCATAGGTTACATGCATAATTTAAGGGGAATGCATCTTTGAGAAAGGCTTATTTTGCAGAAAAATAAAATCCGCCTTCCAGACCCTTTCCTACCCTGTGCCTGTGCCACATGTGATCGGAAAGTCAGGTAGGTGTCAAGATAAGATGCCATGAATAGGTAGAGAATACTTCCACAGCTGTGCTGTGGTTGCAGGGAGGCAGGAGCTGGTGACTGGGTCCCTGCTTCAAGTTTGCAACTTCAAAGCTGCGAGTGGCAAAGTGACCTGACTGTATAGGGTGAAAGCCCCGAAGACAAGTGCTCTGGGTGCAGACTTGGTGTGCTTGCGGCTGCCCTAGTAGAATGAGTAATGGTGATAACCAAGTGCTCTTGCTCCCTCCTTCCTTGATCCTTGATCCTGCAATCATCGTGGTGATTTCATATTAGATGGCTTGACATTTCAGAGCTAGGATACCACTTGCTGCAATGAAGCAGACATCTTTTATTCTACTTTATTTTTTTTATAAGCAACTGGTTCTGCCATGGATATTTCATTATCACTAAACAAAGTGCCCCTGGTGGATAGCAAGCCCCAGGTAAATGATTTTTGTATGAATCACAGCAGACTTGCAACTCGGAGTGAGCCCTCTGCATGGATGAAGATGTTCTGCTCCAATAAGGTTTTTCCTGCAACTGCCTAGTCTTGCTGTCTCCCGTGAGACAAAAGATCTCAACATTCCTCATTTCCATCCAGAGTTACACTAGAAGCAAAGCTGGTCATGGAAGATCCTGCAACAGAAGTAGCAACAGAACAACATGAGGATCCTTTAGAAAGCTTGTGAAGAAACAGAATTAAAGTTCCTTAGGGAGCAAAGCAACTTTGAAACCCACATGTATTCGCTCCCCCGCCCCCTGTAATACTCATTTGTTGAAGACCTTCTCCTGTTTGTCATCTTCCTGTCCTTACAGTCTTTTCTGATGTCTCTCCTAGGTTTATTTTCTTGAAAAAGCTCCAGGCTTCGGCTTGGAAAATACAACCGCCAAGATTGAGCCCAGCAGCTGGAGCGGCAGCGAGAGCCCTGCCGAGAACATGGAGAGGATGAGTGACTCTGCAGATAAGCCCATTGACAATGACGCCGAGGGTGTATGGAGCCCCGACATCGAGCAGAGCTTTCAGGAAGCCCTGGCCATCTATCCGCCATGTGGCAGGAGGAAAATCATCTTATCCGACGAAGGCAAAATGTATGGTAAGTGGCCTCCCACGCCGCTGGGAAACATCCCACTGATAGGTGAGAGAGAGCTGGCTCCCGAGGCCAGCTCTTTGTGGTATGGGTGGACAACCTAGGTGATACTTCCATGGATGCTTGGGGGAGTGTGTGTGTTTGTGGGGGCCAATGCAGACAGTGAGTTGTGGGTATGCATTCTTGGGAACACTAGCCCAGCCTACAAATGTCAAGTGGGAAAGGCAACCACCAGATTTCTTGATTTCCCCTGCTCTGGTTCCACCCTGGACAGGCCTGGATACTATTGAAATGTAATTTTTCCAGAAGTCAGCATTATTTTTTTCTAAATTTATTTGAAAGAGTTACGGATAAAGAGGGACAGATCTTCTGTTTACTGGTTCACTCCCTAAATGATGGCAGTCATTGGGGCTCTGCCAGAGTGAAGCCAGGACTTCTTGCAAATTTCCTGGGTGGGTGCAGGGGCCCAAGCTCTTTTGCCATCTTCCACTGTTTTGTCACGCACATCAGCAGAGACCTGGATCAAAGTAAAGCAGCTGGAACTCAAATTGGCATTCATATGGGATGCTGGCATTCTGGTGGCTTTAGTCACAGTGTCACAGCCCTCTTCAACTCAGCAGTTGAAGAAAAGTAAAGCTAACACAATCACCATTCCTGGGCAAGCCAGACAGATAAGACACATGGGTGATCCCTGAGATACCAGTTTGTAGTTGAATAGCCAGAAGAGGCACTAACCTCAGTGCTGTTCCAGCCAGGTTCCCCTTCTACAAGGGGCCGCCTGATAGTGTGTTCTAAAGGAGACTCCAAGAGTACCCAACAAGGCAAGAGTAGTTACCTGAGGCTCAGGATGCCCCACGTGTCAGTGAGCCCCCATGTGCATGTTTGAGGTTTGCTTCTTGGGCGTGGGTGCTCCGCCTCCTTTCTGAGGGTTTCCAGCAGTAAATGTGTACTTTTGTGCTTACCTTTGGGGGAGCAGATGGCAGGTGGTTGCTTGTACATTCTGCTTCTCTGATTGGTCACCTTGAGTTGACAGAGTTTGCACTGTCACAAAGTCTAAAGAGATGCAAACAACGTAAGGTTAGAGAGAACCGACTCAACTACGTACATGGGGTTGTTAACTTATTATGGGAGAGATTCATTTCTAAATAATTTGTGATCTTTTCCGAAATAGGGTATTGTACCTTTAACATGTGCTTCCCTTGTCAGGAGCCGTAGGAAGCAGAGCTCAAACCAGCACACACTGCTGAGGAGAAAGCAGATGGTGGTGCAGCTGCTACCAGCTGTGCCCCTACCCTGCCTTCCTCCTCGCCAACTGGGAGGATGTAATGGAAACAAGGAAAATTGTGCTTTCTGGAGCACTGGATTCTCTGAGCCTGTCACATACAGGAGAGAGCGAGAGAGCAGAGAAAGGACCCAAAACCTTAGCATTTGTTTTTCACTTGCATGGTAGCTTTTGTAGTCAGAGCAGCAGCTTCATGTCTATAGACTAGGTGCAAGGTGTACTATCTTAGTGTCTGTGGGTAGGAGAAATGCGGGCACTAGGTTTTCTGGGCTCCTTTCTCAGCCCTCCTGTTTGCTCCCAGGGCCTCATCTTTATTCCTGAAAAGGCAACTCTCCCCTCTCTTTAACACTGAGAACAGCACTTTAATCTTGGAGCTTTCTTTGAAGATGATTTTATGAGGTGTTGGGAAGGGTGCTTTGGGCCATGACCTTATGCAACTTGCACTTGTTTACCCAGCAGTGACTCTCATCTAAAATAATGGTGTAGTTGGAACCCAGGGTGGGATTGATGACAGTGCTCCCCTTCTTACAAGGAAGCCTGTGAAGGGCCCTTCCCTTTACGGTGAAGGTTTCAGGTCTGGTCATATAATTAACTCAAAGCCAAGGTTAAGTTGTAACAACTCCAGTGGGTGTTGTTTTGTTTTCTGTTGAGGTTTTACTTTTTCCTTGGTATCCGCAGTAGGTTTAACTAATTTGCCTGCACCTCAGTCCTGACAAATGTTTTTATGTAAATCATTGTATAGGAGCTCATGACCGTAATTGGGTTTGGAAACAGCAACAGGTTAGGAAGAAGAATAGTGGTAGTGGGAAGTGTTGGGTTTGAGTCTCCCAGCAGTGGACTTGAACAGTGTGTTGGTGATGTTGATACCTTCTCTGTTAAAAATCTTGGGAAGGTAGATGGTGATCCATTTTCCAATGCTGCTGGTTTTGTGACTTGGTGAAATCCTATTCAGTTACTGACAGATGTGCTGGGCTGTAAGAGTCCTTCGTGCCCTCGGGCACTTGGGTTCAAAAGCCTCCTAAGTGCTCATGTTCTTTTTTCTTTAAATTAACAGAACCCTTTCCCACTGTGGTGGTAGCCAAATTGGTTTAAAGTGGAGTGGTTGTTTTGACCAGGCAACAATGAGATCAGCACTTTTTTTGGGAGAGTGGTCTCAACAGTTGTAGGTTTTTGCAGCAGGTGGGGTAAACAGCCTGCAGAATTGTGTGTATTCTGACTGGGTTGCATTGGCTGCACTGGCGCCAAAGCCAGCAGTAGTCTCTACCTCCAGGAAGCTGTTTTGGGGAGAAAACATTCAGCCTCAGTGCTTGGTCAGCACGGAGGAGCCCCTTGGAAGGGAAATGTGGTCTTGTTAGGGCTACAGAGCTACTGCAGACCAGATCCTTCAGAGCAGCTGCCGAACACACCCGAAGGCTGCCTCTGACCTGCCGGTGACTTTGGGGTGAGACAAGGTTGATTTGGGAGGCCCCTGCCGCTGGGGGATTGAGTCATGTGAGCAATGTGGGGCCAGAGCTACTGTTCCTGGCTTCTGGCCTACTCCCCATCTTACCACTCACAAATCAGGACACAAAGCAGACCAGGAATCAAGGTTTGTTAAGGTATTAAGGCCCTAGTTTTTCTCTAAGGGTTTTGAAAGTGAAAACATTGAAAATATTTTGGATTCTACGTAGTAAAATCAAAATAATTGTATGTCTTTTAATGAAATGCCAAGTGTTTCTGACTTGAAGAGCTTATTCTGATATTTCTGAGCATTTGTTGAGTGCTTTGGGATGTCGCTGATCCTGATCCATTGGAGAAGCAAGGTCAAGCGATTTATTTTGGTAATGAAATATCCTTCTTAGTTGGCAGTAGAGCAGATACAGTCTTAAAGAAGAGGAAAATAGAAAGCTCTCTGTACAATGAGGTTTGGCCATTGAGGATGGCTTAAGTCTGTCTTTCTGCAGCCTTGGTCTGCAGGGGAGCTGAGCCTTTATGTAAGTTGGTCTCCCTGTGTTTAGGTCGTTTTTGCCTTGGGTACCTCTTCAGTGTAGGCAGCAGTTCTTGTGGACAATTAGAAGAGGGTGGGACTTCCTTTGACCTTATTCCTAAGAGCAAGCATGCTTGTTCGATTGGGCAGGCTTTCTCTCCTTATGTCTGTCTTTTGGTTTCTTGTTTTTCTTAGCTGTCTCTTTCTGGTGGATCTTAGTGGAGGAGATAGCAGGAAGACAAAGATGAGAGAGAATTTCTTAGCCAAGAAGCTTGTGTAAAAGCTTGGATTTCAAAGGACCAAATGATCATTTAAGACAAAGCAAAAGCAGTGAATGTGGGACAACGCGGGTGTATTTCCTTTTGCAACTGAAAACTCCGGTCATGTGAAATGTTCGGATAACCCCAGTAATCAAAGCAGGCTGAGGACACGGGCTATAGAGGCAGGGAATCATGGCACTGAACAGTTTGGACGTGGTAGCTAATGTAAGCCTATCACTTCTTCATGTTAGACTTTGGATATCTTGCAGTTCTCTTTGCCTCAGGTTCCTCAGCTCCAAAGGGGAGTTAAATCTTATTTTGAGGGATGGTTAGAATTAAATGTACTTGTTTGTATTGTGAAACCCTTCCTATCTTACCTACAACATTAGGCACATGGTGAGATCTGTCACTGTTTCTGAACTGAAAACAAAAGTGTCCTCTGCTGTGTACTCAGCTGAATACTTTTCATGTAATTTCCATTGAGTGTCTGACAATGCCTGTAAGGTTAGTATTGTGATCCTGCTTTATAGATGAGTTAACAGAACCTTAGAGGTAGTTTGCAGTGGTTGATCTGAATGGTCTAAGAGATATTTGAGTTTCAAATCCAGGTCTCTCTAACTCTAAAACCTGGCCTCTTCACTATGCTTTTGTCCTTTCTTGGTAAAGGCCACTATACATTAATGCAGAAAATTGGTATTGGGCGTCAGCTGTGTTGTGGGTTGTCAGAGACAGCTGTGAAACAATCCCTGCCCTCAAGGAGCTGTCATAAGTTCATTTGTAGGAAATTGACCTGAGGTCAGGGCGGTGAGCCAAAGCTTTCTGGGAAGGCTGGGATCCCTTTGAAGATGGTCACCTTCCACTTAGGCTTTTGAAGCCTGTTCTTGGCCACCAGTGTGTAAGGCACTTGGCCTGCTGTTGGCAGGAAGACATCATCTCAAATAACGCTGTGGGGAGGGTCCCAGATCACAAGGCTGGCCCTGCTGGTGGCCAGGAAGATGTCTGAAAGGTTTTGGTGCCCTAGGATTCGGTAAGCAGCCTGGGCAGTGACTTTTCTGCGTTTGTGAACAAGTGTGTTTAGGGATGTTTCAGGATAGCTCCACGGAGGGTCCTTGGAGTGTTGGGGCATACTGCTGAGCCCCTGGAGAGCCCCACAGTGTGAGGAGGCCAGTCCTTCCCACTTGCTGACCTGTGTGCCCTGCCAGCCAGTGGGATGCAGGACTTGGGCTTGGCCCTTTACTGACTTCACAGGGGCGTGAGACACAAGAGGGAAGGATTGTAAGCTCTTTGAACGAGCTGATGACAGCACTGATGAGGGGACCTCAGAATGAGAGTGCTCACAAGCACACACACACACACACACACAGTGGGGACAGGTAGAACCCATCTGATCCTCCGATCCTGAGAGTGGGTCAGAGAAGCACAAGGTTGCTCTTCCATGTCCGTGAGGCTGGCACTGATGCTGCTTGTCTGTGGAACTTCCAGAGGCCGAGGAGTGGGA